GGGATTGTTCCACGTAACCTACAAAGAGGCAGGCGTAGCTTGGGCCCATGCGGGTACCCATGGCTACCCCCTTTGTCTGTAGGAAGTGGGAGGAATTGAAAGAGAAGTTGTTGAGTGTGAGGACGAGTTCGGCTAAGCGGATGAGGGTATCAGTGGAGGGGGACTGGTCGGGCCTGCGGGACAGGAAGAAGCGGAGGGCCTTAAGGCCATCTGCATGGGGAATGCAGGTGTAGAGGGACTGGACGTCCATGGTAAAGATGAGGTGTTGGGGACCGGGGAATTGGAAGTTCTGGAGGAGGTGGAGGGCGTGGGTGGTGTCACGGACATAGGTAGGGAGTTCCAGGACCAAGGGGGAGAAAATGGAGTCTAGATAGTTGGAGATCAGTTCGGTGGGGCAGGAGCAGGCGGAGACAATGGGTCGACCAGGGCATTCAGGTTTGTGGATTTTGGGAAGGAGATAGAAGCGGGCGGTGCGGTTGGGGAACGATGAGGTTGGAGGCCGTGGGTGGGAGGTCACCTGAGGTGATGAGGTTGTGGATAGTTTGCGAGATGATGGTTTGGTGCTCAGGGGTGGGGTCATGATCAAGGGGGCGGTAGGAGGAGGTGTCGGAGAGTTGGCGTCCGGCCTCGGCGATGTAGAGGTCAGTGCGCCATACTACAACTGCGCCTCCCTTGTCCGCGGGTTTTATGGTGAAGTTGGGATTGGAGCAGAGGGAGCGGAGGGCTGCACGTTCTGCAGGGGAGAGGTTGGAGTGGGTGAGAGGGGTGGATTAATGATGTTTTGCCATTCCCCATGCTCCTTTTGTTTGAACATCGCTTTTAAAGTGTATTTGTTCTGTTCTCATTTACATCCTGACTTTAATCTGAAACAAATGCCATAACTTCCTTGGCCTTAAGTGTGAATTTGAATGTTTAGCACATGTATTTTATGGTAACTTTATCCTTAAAAAGTATCATCTCTCAAGCAGCTCACCCAAGTTGCAAACTTAACTCTGCCAAAATTTGACATTGGTATTAGAAAAGCTATATGGCAAAGAAACAGGCCATTCAGCCCAACCACTTCATATTGTTATCAACAGAAATAATTTGGCTAATCAACTTAAATCTTTTAGTGGAATAATTAGTTTTGGGACCTTTTCATCCATATGGAGGTCTACTAATATTTCAGGGTCATTGCTAATGATTAAGACTACGAAGTGAATGTCCCTCATATTAATGGCTGGATTTTTGTGAAGTCTCTCCTCTTTCAAAGTGGCAGGTGGGACAAGAATCTAGAAGTTGTCCCCACTCCCAAATTAGACAGATCTCATTTTCTCTGGTAGGGGAAAGGGGGTGGACTATGATACATATAAGTATGAAACCTGAACTCATGTGGACCATTTAGACTCAGTATAGAGTTCAAACATTCATCATTTACACTCAAGCAAGGGCCTTTACTGCAGGTTCTGAATCACAAATTTGTGCAGAAGACATAAATGCTTGTAAACGGTGCACAATATCTGTAAAACTGTCAAGCTATCAAGTTATTTAAACTCCAACCTTTTAAAAATTCAAAAGAAAGTTTTCCAGTGTCAGACAGAATTGAAAATCTCTAGCTCTGAAATAATTTAAATTCCCAGCTCCTTAAAAATGTGACAGAATGCTTCCCTGTGTAGTGGGAGTTGTAAAGCAATCTAGGCTTACAATTAAAATAGCCGTTTGTTGACAAGGTTTTGCACTAAAAGGCTATTATTAGTATATTTCCTTTACATAATGTTTAGATGTTTTTTATAAACTTCAATTATTCCATGGGTGGATTGATGGCTCAAGGAGATTGTTAAAGTATTAGCTGTCTTTGCTGTAGGTTAATGAATACAAGTCTGTTTGGTTCATAAGGGATTAGGTACTTGAGGGGCTTCTGAAGTTCTAAATTGACTTTCACGAATGAGAGTTTTTTAATACAGTGAAAACTGCAATTATTAATTATATCTTTATTTAATCTCAACTTGGCTCCTTAGGTCTGTGCGTAGTGGATATTAACTGAGTTTACATAAAGGGTACAAGGGCAAAGTTTGATGATTGTGGGTTATTGCTCATTGTGAGCTCACCTGGAGGCTGCAAGAGACCAATGTGTGGATGAGGGGAGTGAACATTGGGGCTACAAGGGGATATGGGCATGTTGGGTGGGTGCATCAATGGCATGGGTTGTGATGGGGAGTGAGGGATGAGGGTCAGGAGCTGAATATTTAACAAAATAACTGGGAATGAAGTCCCAGAGAATCACGGTGGATCTTTTAAATAGTCTGTCTTGGCCCAGGAGGTTTCCTCCAATCGGTATCCAGGGCAGCAGGCCTAACTCCAATCTGCAACCATAACTTCAGAACAAAGAAGCTGCCATTTGGGGCACTTGTTCCCTAGGCCAGTGTGGGTTATTTCCTAACTCAACCCACTTGTCTCAGGAGTGAAAATCTGGCCTTTTATGTTTGGTGTGTTGGATAAGAAAGCAATTTTAAATATAGATCACTACTAATTATATAACCACAATAACAATTAAAACTTGCCTTAAATAAATAGTTTCATCTGTCCTTATTGTCCTACCCAGCATCAATATTCCTTACAACTCTTTGACTGAAATTTTGCCTGTCACTTGCATTTAACATGATTGAGAGATACTTCCAATTAGACCTCTGCCACTTCTGTAGATGACATAGAAATTGTCAAGTGTTCCACAAGATTACAGTGCAGATAACTGTTCATTCGTAATGTATAAATCTAGCGAGCCGACTGCCTGACAGATCTTGCAGGGTATTTTGCGCAAGTACAAGTGATTTGTAAGTAATTCTGCTCAGTTCAAACAGCAATCTATTTTTATAAACCTGCCTTACAAGGTCAGAATCCTGAAATGTTGCAGCAATCCTAGCAGCATTGCTTCTTGGAGCAATGGCTGTCTGTTTTTCAGCTGCTGATAACAGTTAAATGCTTTGCCTACTCGAACTCACTGGTGAAACTATCAATGTTTGCGTTATTACACCTGTGAAATGGACAGAAAACCTTTCGAGTCCACAAAAGTAGAGTTAAAGAGGGAAATCTAGATGTTCTATAAGTAATTCTGTGCTTCTCACTGGCACTGGCTAAGTCCCTTTAGATGGAAAGCTCTAGAATATTCCTGTGGTCCTCACAATAGAGTTCCTGACTTTGGAAGAGGCACATGTGTGTTTTGTCTTGCGTCTAGTGACTTTCCAAGCTAGAGTCACAGAGATGTACAGCATGGAAGCAGACCCTTCGGTCCAACTCATCCATGCTGGCCAGATCTTCTAAATTAATCTAGTACCATTTGCCGGCATTTGGCCCATATCCCCCTAAACCCTTCCTATTCATATACTCATTCGGATGCCTTTTAAATGTTGTAATTGTACCAGCCTCCAACGCCTCCTCCGGCAGCTCATTCCATATACGCACACACCCTCTGCGTGCCAAAAGGCATACAGAAATTTGTGGAGGCAGCAAGACGGCGTTGAAAAATTTAAAACCGAAAGAACTGCAGAAGCTGTAAATCAGGAACAAAAACAAAGCTGTTGGAAAAGCTCAGCAGGTCAGGCAGCATCTGTGTAGTAAAAATCAGAGCTAACGTTTCTGAGGAAGGGTCACCGGACCCGAAATGTTAACTCTGATTTTTTTCTTCACAGATGCTGCCAGACCTGCTGAGCTTTTCCAGTAACTTTGTTGTTGTGGCATTGAAAAATCGTTTTACTCGCAAAAAAACCCTTAATTTCAGTGTTTTGTAAACCAATTATCATCTGCACTGGGTGGTGAAAACCAAAAAGTTGGGAAACTGTGATACAAAAATTGGGAAAATGCTCAGACTATAAAGTAGGTATTTAACTTAGATATATCAGCATAACAGAAGACTCAAGCACCGAGAGAAACATCTCACAAGCTGAAGCCATTCAGTAACCCAGAGCCAGAGTTGGGAAATATTCCAGACAGATTAGCATAAAATGAGTAGCCATTCAGCGTCCTCAATTGCACTACAGTGACACTGAAATCCCTGTTACTTGCCATACAACTTATTACCTCAAAATCAAATGGCAAGCTAGCACAGACCTGGCAAATCAGCTCAAAGCCAAAGCAGAGGGAACAGTGTGCTCACATTCTGTCCAGAACATTGAGGCAGTGCTATTAAAGATGGTTGTTGACATAATCCAGATTTTGCTTTTATTATAGCCATTAATGCTGTTGATATAATGCTGCAGGAAAATTAAAATCTTTATCAGTTGTCATCTCACCCTAAGGAAAGGCAAATTTGCTCTTATAGTTGCATCACCACTGTTTTTGCATATGCAATTCATCCAATAAACAAACAAGAATCCATGAACTCTGAGCTAAACTTCAAACTACTAAACTTCAAACAATGCATCAAGGGTATGTAATAACAGTGCTGTCAAAACTAGATGTTCAGGGCTGGTGCTTTCTTTTAAAACCATTTTATTTACAAAGTAAGATGTTTCTTAGAATCAGCCACTTAGTGTGACAGGAATTCAAAATTGCAAAAGTTGGAAGTAAACTACATTACTGACTGTACATAACCTTAGCAGATGTCTGAGAAAGGTAACACATCAGCAGCATTAAATAAAATCAACCCAAATTTTGCGTTCATCAAAGTGAGATCATTGTATCTTCGCAACAGATTAACAGCTGGATACCTCATTCCACAAAACAATTATTCCTTTATATAAGAAAATTACATTATAGATGGCAGTGACAATTAAATACTACCTAAGAAATGCACTTACTCGAAAAAATTCTTTGGTAGAACCTGAATCCAATGTTCCATAGGCAATTTCTGTTTGTTTCGCAAGATCCTCTGCACTTTCTATTGGAGAAACCATTCTCTCCACAGTGAGAAAAGCAGCAAGGTTGGCAGTGTACGACGAGATTATAATCAAAGTGAAGAACCACCAGACGCCTCCAACAATTCGCCCAGAGAGGGATCTAAACGTAAAATGAAAGGTCTGCGGTTTAATAACGGTCACATTTATATTAGAAGACAAATAACTGAGATTGAATTTAATAGATGTAGCTATTTATTTATCATTATTAGAATAATAAAAACAAAAAAAGTCAGACTCACTTGAAAGTAAATGAATCTCTTAATAAGACACTTCTAAATTTATGCAACTTCAATGAGCCCGTTCAAAGTTCACATTTCTTAGTGTTGGCAGTAAATATGTTATTGCTAAGATATTGCTACTCTCTCTTGCCATTCCAGTGGATGATAACATGGGGATTGAAGGGATATTGCAAGGGACCTGATTGAAATTCAACTCAACTATTAGAAATAAGGGGATGAACACAATATCCAAGATGTAGTCAGAACTTTACAAGTGAACATCACAGCACGGCAAGTCTGAATGCAATATTCTAATTTGAAGACTTAAATTAACATATGACTACACAACCAATTTTTTTTTGTCTTCAATAAACACAGAGAAATATTGACAGCCTGGTAAAACTGTTGAGCAATAGAGAACTGTGAGAGAGATTGGTTATAGAATCATGGAGATCAAACAGTGCAGGAAAGGGCCCTTAGACCCACTATGTCCACTCCAGTAAAAAATGACTATTCTAATCCCATTTTCCAGCACTTGGCCCATACCCTTGTATGCCCTAGCATCTAAATACTTCTTAAATGTTATGAGGGTTTCCATTCTTCCATTCTTGCAGGCTGTGATTTCCAGATTCTCACCACCCTTTGGGTGAAAAACTTTCTGCCCCTTACCTTAAATCTACGCCCTGTAGCCACTGTTCCTTCCATTAAGGGAAATGTTTCTTTCTGTCTACACTAACTATGCTACTCATAATTTCGTACCTCTCAATCTCCTCTGTTCTAGGGAAAATAATCCCAATCTGTCTAATGTCTCTTCATAATTGAAACTTTCCAGTCCAGGCAACATCCCGGTAATTCTCTTATGCACCCTCTCCAGTGTAATCACATTCCTACTATAATGTGTATTCTAGGACTGCACACAATACTCTAGCTGTGGCCTAAAAAATGTTCTAGCATAACCTCCCTGCTCTTAAACTCTATGCCTCAGCTAATAAACATAATTATATCATATGCCTTTTTACGTTATATTATTACATATTCCAAATAATCAATTAATTTTGCAAAATGCTCTGAATGAAAATTATTTCTGTCACCTATTGTGAGGACTCCAGGGAAAAGTGAAGAGCAGTCATTGGATTACATTTCGGAAAAGTAACAGACTGACTGAATAATCAATTTCCAAATGTTAAAGAAGGATTACTCCCCTTTCATTCACAGTTAGCAAAAATGCTTTAAAAAATGCTACAGAATTATGTTGCCAGGAGCCTGCACAGCTGAGTTTCAATCCAGAGTGCAGACACGTCATTTAATGTACAAGCCTAATAAAAATTAAATGCAAAAGAACATAGTGCTGTATGTACATTGGAAGGTTAGAAGGGATTATTGATTAGTTTCCACTGCAGTGTTTAAAATTTCAGGATCAAGTGAAAGGTTAAACTGGGAATTACAATAAAAGGACTAAAGAACAAGATAGCTGAACTCTGGTAAGAATGTTGTGCAGAAAAAAATAACAAGAAGAATTGGTAGAGTAAATATTTGCATCCTGTTAGATTAGGATTGGTAACTAATGGTTTGTGGAAAAGGGACTATTTAAACAGAAGATCCTTAGTAGATAAGAAATGGGAAATAAAAAAAGTGCTGGAGAAACTCAGCAGGCCTGGCAGCATCTGTAGAAAGAGAAATAGAGTTTTGAGTTTGATCTAACTACTTCACATCCGAAGGCAAAGAGAAATGAAGACTGTTTACACCCCTGTTTGGAATATGCTTACAGTTTAATAGTGGCATTCACAGTTTGCTAAGAATTTTTACTGGGGCAAATCATCATGGATATCACGTTGGTGAGGGCATTAGTGCACTCAATGAAGTCTGTCGAACAAGCAGACGATGACATAAATCAACATACAATGCTAACTTGGCACAAATTTAGAGCTCTACATTCCAGTTAACAGTGTTTCTGTTCCTGGCACAGTGAACACATTTTCAGCAGCAGTGAGGAACTCCCACTGTTTAAGGGGCCATCACCTAGTTAACAATTAGTAGTTGTTGACTTCTTGTAGCTGTTGTTCTGATTCTCCAAGTATTTCGTGTTTTCTATTGTACTTTCAAGTTTTAACACTACAGGTGGTGGTGGTAAAAGTGCTGAAACAACTTTGGCTAACAACAATGTTTCCACGCAAACTAATTGGTTCCTGGTATGAGTCCATTAAATATATGTCCCTTGTAGTACAACATGGGTCAGAGAATGAACAGTTGGTACACAGAGCAGGATAGGCTGCTGGAAGCAGAGAGAGGAAGAGAAGTGAAGTCCTTTCAGTAGGGTATGGGGGGGTGTCAGACAGCTGAAGCTGAATTTATCTGGAACTTGGTAAAAAGAAAGTATGAGACTTCTTCTCTTCAGTAGGGATATCCTCATTGAAATCTGCTGCCTGTTACAGCCTTAATCCCAACCTCAGAGCCGGTCACGGTCCTCATATTAGCAATCTGTGAAGGGTATATTGGCAAGGAAATTTTATGTGTCTGGCTCCTTCTAGGCTGGAGCTGAAGATATCAGCAACATCTCATAGTTTGCTATCCAGTGCTTATCTGAGAGGTCATCAAAATTCTACCCAATGAGAAGCAACCATACATCATTCAGAATCCAGTAGGCAAAGTGAGCAAGTAGCTTTATTAGGATTAGAGATTTCCCCACAGGGCAGGATGCTATCGATTGCACACACATTGATTTTATGGTGCGAACAATTCTGTTCTACGTTGGAATTGAAAAGGATTCTAGTACCTCAAAGTTCAGCTGGTGTATAAACAGTGCATCACGCAGGTCAAACATCTGGTACCTTGGCAGCAGTCATTATGCCTTCCTCTGCCAGAATCCACCGTGCCAGCTATACTTGAGCAACCACAGCAAACAAAAAGTGACTGCTGGGTGACAAAGCTATCTGCAATCCATAAGGCTGATAGCTCCAGTATGCCACCTATACACACATAGAGTCATAGGGATAAACAGCACAGAAACAGACCCTTCAGTCCAACTCATCCATGCTGACCAGATATCCTATATAAATCTAGTCCCGTTTGCCAGTGTTTGGCCCATACCCCTCCAAACTTTTCCTATCATATACCCGTCCAGATGTCTTCTAAATGTTGTAATTGTACCAGCCTCCATCATTTCCTCTGGCAGCTCATTCCATACATGCACCACGGTCTGTGTGAAAAATTGCCCCTTATGTCCCTTTTATATCTTTCCCCTCTCACCTTAAACCCACACCCTCTAGTTTCAGACTTCCTCACCCTGGGGAAAAGACCTTGTCCATTTACCCTAACCATGCCCCTCATGATTTCATAAACCTCTAAGGTCACCCCTCAGCCTCTGACACTCCCAGGGAAAATAGCCCCAGCCTATTCAGCCTCTTCCCATAGCTCAAACGTTTCACCTCTGACAACATCCTTGTAAATCTTTTCTGAACCCTTTCTAGTTTCACAAATTCTTTCCTATAGGAAGGAGACCAAAATTGCACGCAGTACTCCAGAAGTGGCCGAGCCAATGTTCTGTACAGCCGTAACGTGATCTCCCAACTCCTATACTAAGTGAAAACCGAAAGAACTGCGGATGCTGTGAATCAGGAACAAAAACAAAGCTGCTGGAAAAGCTCAGCAGGTCTGGCAGCATCTGTGAAGGAAAAAAACAGAGTTAACGTTTCGGGTCCGGTGACCCTAACTCAGAACTGGTTCTGAGATGCTGCCAGACCTGCTGAGTTTTTCCAGCAACTTTGTTTTTGTTCCTATATTAAGTACATTGACCAATAAAGGCAAGTGGACAAAATGCCTTCTTCACTGCAGCATGTGCACCTTGAAAACCATGTAGCCACGCAAAGTTTGATAGAGGAGCCCACTAATATGCTGAAATAATATGTGCACTGCCTGGATCTTTATGAAGGATCCCTGGACTATTTGCAACAGCTTGTGTAAAATTGATCATGGTCTGACCATTGTGAGGGGACAAGCCTGGTAAATGACTGTATGGATACAGCTGAAGAGAAGGAATATGAGTGAGAGGAGGAGGAAAATATGGAAGAAGAAAGGATGAGGCAACCTTGACACTTCCTTCCAGATATGGTATCCATGATGAGTTATCCAAGAACTGACTGAGACTAGTGATTGCAACCCCAATTCCCCATTCACAAAAAATTCCAGGTACTGCCTTTCCTCTGTAACTGAGCATCAGAGTCTACTCAATACAATGCAGAAGTAAAAGTGACAACAAAATGAATATTCTAAGCCAAGTTTATAAGTCAAAATATCCAAACTAATCACCACTGTTCAATTCTCTTCATGCTTGTCTTCTGGTGTGTTTTTGCCTGACCTAGTGATTCTAGACAGGGCTATTCCAGCACAGCTAGTAGAAGGCTGCTCAATATCAGGCAGGAAGAATGCTGATTGCTTTGGAGGATGACCTTGAGCACTTTGGGGTCTAGAAAGGACGTTGCAGATTCTACCATGTCAGCAGCAGAAACAACTGTCTGGGTCTTAGGCAACAGCAAGAAAAGTGGCAGAGCTGGTAGGGAGATCTGTTTATTTCACATCGTCTATATTATCCATATCTGGAATATTTTCATTTTTTAATTTATTCTTTTATGAGGTGTGAGCTTCATTGGCTTGGCCAGCATTTGTTGCCCATCCTTAATTGGCCTTGATAAGGTGGTGGAGAGTTGCTTTTTTTGAACAGTGGCCCATAGGGGATAGGTACACCAACAGTCCTGTCAACAAATGAATCCCAGGGATTTTGACTGAGCGACAGTGAAGAAATGGCAATGTAGTTTCAAATCTGTGGTGGTCTGTGCTTTGGAGGGAAATTTGCAGATGGTGGTGATGCTCGGTGTTCACTGCCCTT